ATTCCCTTAATCATTGAGATTGACTAGAATATAAAATTGTTTTTTAAAATAAAAACTATGAATTATGCATAATTTGCATACTACTAACTTAAAAATTATTTTCTTTCAGTAATGCCTATACATATGATAATGAAACAGACACTTTTCATCTCATGTAATTACATTATTTTTTAATCTCAATATAGCCCAAACCAATAATCCATCATTATTTTAACACAGTGTTTCTTTTAGTAAGATAGATGAACAACTCAGCTACTTTTCTTTTGGCGAAGGGTGGTATTGGGGATTGAATTCAGTGGCACAGTACCACTGATTTACATCCCTAGTCCTTGTACTTTTTATTTTGAGACAGGCTCTGTCTAAAGTTGTAAATGCCGGCCTCAAACCTGCCATCCTCCTGCCTCAATCTCCGAAGTTGCTAGGATTACAGTTAATTACAGTCGTGCACCACTGCACCCAGCTCAGCTACTTTTAATATAATCACTTTTTATAAATATAAGGAGTCCTTCAATGTACTGATATGAAAAAACAAACTCCAAATCATGCTGTAAGGTAGGGGGAAAGCAAAATTAAGTATTTTTGCTATAATATATCTGAAAAAATTAAAGGAATTCTGCTTGTATATTCAAAGAATGTTTCTCGAATGATGCTTAAAGAACATGATAACATTGGTTGGTTCTAAGAAATGAAATTAACAAAAAATTTCAAACAAAGCAAATGGCCATTGGCACCATATCAGCAAAAAAAATAAGAAGGTAAAATGATTTTTCAGGGAACTAAAAACATTCATCTTAGAAAAAGCATTTCCCTATTCCAGATTCATAAGCATATAAACCCAAGGATAAAAAAATAAAAGTACCTAAAAGTCTGATACAAATTCTTAGCTTTCTATAAATAAGTTAAGCTAAACTTTTACAGCAGATAGACATTCATATTTTCTTCCAAAAACTAAAGTAAATTATAATATTTTATATTAATGAAAGAGATATGAATAACAATTTCAAAACATTTTCCTTATGCTTCTTATTGAAATCTAATCTTAGCAAAAGCCATTTAACATACATAATTACTAAAAGTAAATAAATAAAGGCGTTAAGATTAGCTTTCATAGCCCAGTCTGAAATGCTTAAAGTAATCTTATTTTATTATTAAAACCCCCAAAACTCAACAAATCAAACTCCATTTGATTATAGGAATAGAAACACTAAAAGGAGGCGCAAATAAAGCTTTTTAAAGCATATTACTAATTATTGTATAGTTTAAGATAAACTATGCTATGATGAGCATAAAACAACCAGCTTTCTTCATCTGTATACCTTGAGAAACTGTTTATACATTAAGGTAAACTTTTCTTTGTGGCAGGATATCATTCCTAATAATTCTAAATGAATGTATGTCTGTATAGAAATAGTTTGAATGTAAAAGGGAGTCAACACAATTTTTCTGAGAACTATTGCAAGAAAATTTGTTAGCCAGGAATTGAATAAGAGTGGGCAGTTGCTATTCCCAAGTATCCAAATTTAACTAGTTCCACATCAACTGAATGTATTGATTCTACATTCCACTTACTTCTAAGCTTGTAAGCAATAGTCCAGTTGACTAAAAAATTCCTTGGTATTCACAGGCTACTGGTTCTAGGAACCTCCTCAGACACCAAAAGCTGTAGATTCTCAAGTCCGTTATGCAAAATGGTGTAGCAGTTGTATAAAACCTATGAGCACCCCCTCCTGTATATTTTAAATCATGTCTAGATTATTTATTATTTACAATACCCACTTAAATGTAAATGCTATATAAACAGTTATTACATTATATCATTTAGGGAATAGTGACAAAAAATCTGTACATGTTCAGTACATATACAAATTTCTTTTTTTTTTGGATATTTTCTACCTGAGGTTGGTTGAATCCATGGATGTGAAACCTGTAGATATAAAGAGCTGACTGCATAATTTCCAGTCAGGAATTCTGTCCACAATATAGGATACTACTATGTAGTCAGTTGAATCATTCATGCTATAGGTTATAGGTTGAGCAAGAAGAATAACCAGAAAAACTGAACTAAGTGTAGTACAGTTTGGCCCAATATTTGGAAAGAAATAGATTGAATCTTGACCAAGTAGTTGCCAAAGATTGTGCTCAAATACACCATTTTGTGTGGTTCTATGATAAACAAAAAAGATGAATTCAAGCAAATTCCCTTCAATTAACTGGCAAACTAGCACCTACTTAAAAAAAAAAAAAAAAAAAAAAAAAAAAAAAAGCCTTGATTTCTACAAGTTGAAACAAACAAAAATTGACCAATTTTCTGACATTTGGTAAGAAGAGGCTGGTAGAAAATCTTAATTAGGTCCATAGTCCTTATTAAACACTGCTAACTTTACTACTATAATGTGAAGTGCACACTGGGAATCATTTTCTCACTCTGAATCAAACTCATGAAAACCTTCAGATTGAGAGGGGGATCTAAATAAAATACATCCTTTGGTAATAAATGCAAGGTAATGCTATAAACACTAGTAGATAAGTGTGTACCACCACATGGGATTTGATGAGGGTACATTGTGTTTTATTTTCATATAAAAGATATCTTCAATTTTTATACTTTTTGTTAAAAAATTAAAAATATTCTTATTAAAAAGGAAAACAACCCCAAAATCATTTCAGACAGAATTTTCATCATTAAGAAATCAATCTCAAATATGAATATTTTAAAATGTAAATGAATATGTATAATTGATATTATGAATTGATGATTCTTAGAAGAATTTTCAAACATTGCCAATTATATTTAGTAATTTTATGTGTCTAATTTATTGATGAATGTAGTAAAAATCACATATCATATTTGTGTATTGGGTAACTGAAAGGGTAATGTTACCTTTCCTGTACTATAGAGAAGACCTTCATCAAAAAATTCTATCCATCTAACTAAATATATATATATACACATGTATATATATAAAAATACAGATATATAAACATATATATATATATAGATACATATATATGTTTATATATTTGTATTTATATATATTTTTTCTGTTAATGTTTGCAAATGTATTTACATGACTTGGAATATACATCTTAGCTAATTTAGTGATAGAACTAGTAGGTTTAATAAACCTAAATATGGTTGCTGGGGATGTTTAACAAGTAGCTAAAATAAGTGTGAAGGCAAGTGGGAATGGCAAGAGAAGGTAAGGTAGGAAAGGATGGGATACCAACATGAGAGAGGGTAGATGAAAAGAAAAGTGTGAAAGTACACATTTGCCTTGCTTTTCAGTTTTCCTAGGGCCTCAATAAGTGGCAAGTACTTGAATTCGCATGGAAAATAACTTTCTAGGTGGCCTTCATTAGGAGTGCTATCAAGTACTGGTATCTTTTTTCTCCTTTTCATTTTGTGGTTATGTTTACATAGTATTTTATAATTTAAAAAAAAATACTGTGACTCTTAAAAGCCAGAAGGAAATTAGGAAATAATTTACTTTAAACAACCCCTTATTTTATGGATAGGGGAACTGAGGTCCTGAGAGTCTATGATTTATTAATGGCAATTCTCTTTACTTCCTAATCTATATAAACATACTGGTGTGACCAAAAGGTTTAGAAATACTATATTTAATATCAGTAACAGCCCAAGACAAATACACAAAATGCTTCAAAAGCGCAAATTACAGAAAGGGACTCTCCATTTAGAACAGCTAGTTATATATTCTGATGTTAATAACAAATCCTGAATTAAAAACAAAAGGCTTTAAAAATGGATTAGGGAAAAAAATCACTAAATGAAAGTGTGAACATATGTAATCATCACAAATACACAAAGTATATGCAAAGTACTTACCACATACATATAACATCTTGAAGAAAACCCACTAAATAATAAATATAAATCTCTCTTAGTATTTCTCCCAACTTTATTTCTACCTTATTTCATTTCAAGAACAAACTCTATGGTAAGATGGTGGGAAAAGGATACATCTACTTAGTTCAAATCCCTACTACCCTTTTATATGAAATATCTATAAAATCAATTTCACTGCTACTTCAATTTAAATGATCATTCTCTCTTATATTCTTGGTTGATATAAAAATAAGAAATTCAGGTTATTAAGTTTGATATTTAATCTTATACTACTTTCTATGATTATTTCTGTGACATCATTTGAACACATTAAAGTATATTGTGTCAAAGTATTTAATTTTAAAACCTTGAAATCCCAGATACAAACATGCCAGGCAAGTTCGCTACTGCTGAGCCACAACCCCTGCCCCAACATAAATATTTTTCATCTGAATCAACTGTATATGTGCTTCACAAATCTCTGGTAGAATAGAACATGACTTTACAAATGGCACTTGGGCAGCCTTTTTAAATTTTATTAGTTAAGTACTGATTTCAATATGAATTAGGGGACAAAACTACACATGACTTTTTATTTTAAAAGTGAATCAGGCTTAAAATGTATTAAGTAAATAATATTACAGGCAGCAGGTGAATATGATAAAACTTAAATATCTAAGGTACGGGAAAACTGTCCTACATAACTAACACCTCTGTGAATGAGCTGGAATAAACGCAAGTGAAGAAAACTGAGGAAAATTCCACATTAAACTATATTTTATTTTCTATTTTACTAATTGGCGTTTACCTTATAAAGTAAGTAGCATAATAAAAAGTTATTTCAATAGAAATTGCAAGTATTTAATAATATCACTGAAGAAAGCCTATTAAAATCAGCAGTTTTAGGAGTACAACTCAACTCTAACTTCCTATTACTGATAAAAAGTTCCTAATTCATTTAATTGGGGGCACACATATCAGTAACATTCTATGTAATATATATATATATACTACATGCTATACACTATCATAATACTATAATTGCTTAACACATTCTTGCCCCAGTCCAGTCTTTGTGGTTCTTTTCCCCTACAGAGGAAACAATGTACAACAGAAGTCATCAAGAAGCTAAACTGACCAAATGAATACTTACTGTTGCTGGGGAGGCCCGAGTAGTGTGTGTCACTGAGTGACCAGAATTCTCCATTGAATTGCCAATCAGATAGGTTCCTCCAGAGCTGCTGATGAGTTGACCTCCTGTGACACCCATCTGGATCCCACCAGTACCCACCATACTGTGGGAGGAGACCACGGTAGTCACCTGTGCAGAACTCCCTTGAGTATCAAAGTAATTTCCTCCAGTGTTTTGGCTGTACATCTGTGTTTCTGTGTAAGGATAAGTTGTTGTTCGGCTTTAGAAGAAGAAGAAGAAAGGAGAAATTTACTAGCTGATTTATATCATCTGATTAATTTATCTTCTAATATGGGTCTATTTAAAATAGACAATTTAGTCTTTGGAATATGACAAGTTTTTCATTTTTGTAAGAAACTTAATTCCTGGAAATAGTTGGGTGTACCTTCCAAATTAAAGGTACATTTCTTAAAAAGGTATCTCAGCACCCTTCTGTACTTTAGAGGGTTGGCCCTCTTCAGCTGCCTATCATGGGCATATAAATAAGCTCTGTTGTTAACTTCACTCAAAGGAATCTTGCTGATGGATTTTTTCACTTCCTTATAAAACCACCTGCCAGGCAGGCACAGAGATGCACACCTATAACTCCAGTGGCTAGAGAGGCTGAGGTAGGATGATCACAAGTTCGAAATCAGCCTCAGCAACTTAGCAAGATCCTTAGTATCTTAGTGAAACCCTCAACATAAAAAAATTTAAAAAATGACTCAGAGGTAAAACACCACCCCACACACCCTGGGTTCAATTTCCAGTTCCAAACAACAACAACAACAAAACCAATCCAAACAAAAAACCCTTACAAATCCCAGTTTTAGAAAAACAGCTGTGCCATGAATGGAGGCTGACAAGTGAACTTTCTATATCTCTTCACTTTCCTGAATGACTCCTAATACCCCTCCATGAATAAGGTAGCTTGCATGAATCTCCTTCTTACTACCATAAGGACCTTGAGCAAAAACAGTTTTCCCATCTTGGACCCAAAATCCCTATCTAACATCTCTTTCTTCATACCCAAGCCTCTCCATTATGAGATAACTATGCCCCCCAACCCCCATCTTGTTCTCACTTTCTGCTTTCTAACAACTGTGGTCAAGCTTCTGTCCCTAGTCTTTTATTTAAATTGCTTTTAATAAGGTCATTTGTGACCAACTCTAAATATCAAGCTCAAAGGCTCCTGTCAGCCCTCATCTTTTTTTAACCAATCTGTAGTATGACATTATTGATCACCCCATATGGCCCTTTTCCTCTTTTTTTTCTGTTCTGATTTAACTTATTTTTCATTTTCAATTGACTCTAACTTACATTTTAAAATGAATTTCCTTTTAATTTTATAATACTTAAATGTTCACAGAAGTTACAAAAATATACAGAAATACAAAAATGTACAGTCACAAAAATATAACATATTATGTTTTAAAAATTCAAATACAAAATTAAATTCCCCAGTTCGTGCTATTCTCTTTAATTTCACATCCCAGAGCTAGTCACACGTGACAGGATGGCATGCACGTTTTCAAACAGTTCCTATACTTCTGTTAAGGCTTTTCTATCTTAACCACTCCTGTCCCTTAGTTTCAAAGGCATTTTGTTTCTACTTTTATTTTTTGTCTCCATTTTCCTGGCATGTTATTTTCTGAGGTTCAGATTTTTATGCTTATTTTAAGTTATACCATTGCCTTATCACCTACTACATAACAGATGCTGTTCATAGTAAGTAATCATCAGAGTTGATATCTCTGCCTCCTTTATTTTCTAGTTATATATTAAGAATTTTAAATCTGAGTTTCTAACAGCCAATCAAAAGTTATTTTTATTAGGAAACCCCACAATATATGGGCAGCTTCATATGTAAAATCTAACATATGATGAGATTACTTCTCTGTTTTGTTCTTCTATAGTTATCCTCTCAGTGAGCAGCACCACCATCTTCAGTTTTGGAAAATAATGCTGATTCTTCCCTCACTTAGAAAGACATGAATCACAAAGTGCTATCAATTTTACCTTCTAAATAAAATTCAAAATTTCCAATTCTCTCTTTTCTTCTCATATTCACTGCCTTAATTCATAATGTTCTCTATTATAACTGCTTATACTTGGTTTCCATTCCACTAATTGGGCTCTCTTCCAACCTACCTCCAACTTTGCTGCTCCAGTTTTGTTTCTACAGGAATTTTGTAAAATGCAACTGTGGAAACAAAACTTTACTTGAAAATCTTTCCATGATTCCCTCTTGCCTTCAAAATTCTCTCTTTCCTTCAGAAAATGTTCATAAACTTTGACAGATTTATAGAAAGCATGAGAGTCTGATGCCTACATATTAGGACTCAGTTCTAGCCACATTCTTGAAGGCTTTTTTCACTAGTATTATAATGACCATTTTGCTCATGCTCCCAAAGCGTGATTTTTCTCTTGCTTCTGGTTTACTACATATGGTTTCCTCTGCCCAGAAGGTCTTCATATTTCTCTTCAACTCCCTGCCTTTGTCATAATCATCCTTAAACTCTCATCTTAAGCTACTTATTTTGAATTATTTTCTGCATCTTTTGCTTTCCATTACCACTCCTCAGAGTGATGTTATATTTTGTTTTCTATATTTTTCTAACACTGTGTATTCCAGAAATACAACTCTCAATATGCTTATTCTCATAACTTTGTATTCCCATGAAATTTTTACTTCTTCCCATCTGTAATCTCAATACTTAATACATTGCTGGTACACAATGAGTACATTACATGGTCAAAAAATTAAAATATGATTCTATTTAAAGTATACTGGATATAATAACCAGGTTCATAAATTTTAATAATACAAATTCTTTTATATTTATTAAAACATGAGAAAGCATGCATAAATTTTAAAGATTTTCTGTATTTTTAAGCCATTGTAATGGCTATAATTTACAGTATGAATTTTAGTAAGATTATAATGGTGTTCAGAAAGTACTTCATATTGGATAATATTAATCCTTTCCAGAAAACACCATAACAACTTCAGGTATAAATTTTAGTTTAGGGTGATGATAGAAACAATACCCTAGAGAACATTCTTTTAACAGATTAAAAAAAAAGTCATTTAAATATATATGTATGTGTGTATACATTTGTTTCAACATTGCTCTATTTTCTGGAAACCTCATTTATTAAGTAAAATAACCATGCTGATTTCAAATTTACATAACAAGAGAAATGAGGCCATTTTAATTTATGCCCACATAATACAACAGTGGCCTCATTTAACTGTGCTTCAAGTAACACAACCTGATATTGGTATTTAAGTATAGTCAAATAAGTTGTACAGATAGATATAGGACAATAAATACTTTGAAAGATATAGCACACTGTGATGGCTTTCTTTTCAATATTCCAAACAGGGAGAATAAGTATACCTTTTAACAGAAGGTAGATTTTACAAATAAAAAATACAATAATAACTAATGGTAGCTCATATTTATTAACCATTTACTATGCAACTGACTATTCTATGTGCTTTTCACAAACTCATTTAATCTTTATGACTACTCTTTGAGGTAGGTATAGTTATGATTTTTGTTTCATTACACAAGCTGAATAACTGTAGTTTGGGTAGGTTAAGAAGCTTTGTCCAGAGCACACAGCTGATGAACCATGGATTTGGAATCTGAACTGAGCCCACACTCTCAATTATTTCCTAACATAAAAAAACTTTAACATTTTATGCATGTCAATGATACATGAGAACAAATACTAAGGAACAGCCATAACAGTTGGTATATAGGGCATATGAATTTTCTGTTGCTATTTGGTACTTCCTGACCCCTTAACTCACTGTTTACTAGCACCTAACTAATCCCTGTTCTCACCCAGAATTCTCACCCATGCTGATGATGCCCTTGTAATGGTGAAAAAGCACAGTTGGATAAGGCAGAGCCAACTGAAAAGATATTTACCACCACACAACTGAATATTAGAAGTTCTATAATCATGGAATTTCCACACCATTATAGGAGAAATATCCCAAGGGATTTAAATCACTCTATCTTTCCGGCATGCCCTTTTTATGTAATTATTTCTTGGTGAACAAAGTAATACAAATGCATCACAGAGATACGCATAAACTCTATGTAACCCACTACTCAGTATAAAAATGTAACAGTAAAAAACAAACTACTTAATTTTCATACTTCCTTCTAGCTGGATGTGATTCATGAGCTATAAAAATAACCAAAGAACAGCAGAAGGAAGTAAGGTGCTAAAGAGCATGTCCAATCTATAAACTATCACCATTACTCCAATATTCAATCATGGAGGATAGGACTATGAAGAAAGTTTGGCTACTGCATAAACACAATTCAGGCTAAAGACTGGCAATTTCTAAAGAGTAAAAAAATTATGTCAAGAAATGAAGTGTCATGAATTGTTTGAACTTCACTTGGACAAAAATACACAGAGACTTTAAAATACTGGGTTGAATAGAGGCAGACATGATTTCTTTAGTCACTGTTCTTTAAAGTTAAGAAAACCAGCTTTAATCCATTTATTGGAATCATTTGAGTCTGAGCTGAAGTCATGCACAAGCATCTCCTAAAAGACTTTTCCATATCTAAGTGCTTTCAGCTCCTGAACAAAAACTGAAGAATTTATTTTTCAAAAGAAGTACCAACAGCAAAAGCAAGTAGTTCCTACTTAGGTCGTAGAAATAAGATTCTTTAATTCTGACACATCAGATCAGCTTGTTTTTCACATTGTATATATTTAATACTCCTTCATATGAGTTATTGCTTGCACACTATTTCCCCTAGAAATCTCTAAAACATATGTTCAAGAAAATTACTCAATTTTTGGCATATCAAATTGAAAGCAGCTAACTATTTATGGACTATATATTCCTGAAATAGCTAAATCCTAAGCAATTTTGTACACATTTAAAAGATGCTGCTGTATTCATTTTGTTTTATTGATTTCCACAGACTGTCATGAAAATAATGTGTCATATTGTTTCTATAGTAGAAGAGAAATCTTTCCATTGTTTCTCAAATGTATCCAGTAATGAATGTGAACACACAGATATGTGATACTTGCTGACAGAAGCTTCTTCAAATCTAACTCCATTATAAGGTTTTATGTAAATGTCAGAACTCTGATCCATTTACTTCAGTAAATTAGTGCTGCTTTCATCCCATCATGCTTTAGCATATACCCAGTCTAAGCATGACCCTGAATATTCTCTGCTTACTTATTTATTAT